ATAAAACCATGTAAAATTTATTGTTTTGAGCTCTGAAATGTGCTTATCATAGGGATTTTTCAGTTTGGAACACTTGTTTCGTAAAAATCAGCTAAATGCACACATACCCCACAAATTTCTTTGGAGAGAGATTTAATTTCTTAAATAACAAACTTAAATTTGGATTAGGAGAGTTGATGCCTTTGAGCTGTGGTGCTGGAGAAGAGTACTGAATATTCCATGGACTGTTAAGAGAACAAACAGGTTCAACCTGGAGAGGATGAAACCACGCTGCTCCTTGGAGGCAAGGATTCTGAAACTTCTTCTGACCTATTTTGGACATGTTGCAAGGTGGGATCAGTCCTTGGAGAGGGACGTCATGCTTAGGAGGATGGAGGGACAGTGCAGGAGAGGAAGAGCTTTGATGAGATGGATTGATTCCGTGACTAGGGTAATGGGGATAAGTGTGTCAGAGTCAATACAATTGGCACAGGACAGAGCAGGGTTTAGGGTCGCAGGCAACTCGACGGCACAAAACAACAATAACAACAACAAAAAATCTGGAATATGGATCAGGACTTCTCGCTTATTTAATTATTAGAATTATACTACTGGGAAATCATGTGTGTTATGCCTGTGTATTTATAAAGAAAACCTTAATTAAAACATTGTCAGTGAATTTTTCACACAAAATTTAAAACAGGATCATCCTGAATAAATATACTTTTTATCAAAATCATTAAGCTTGTTGCTAGGTACCATCAAATAGAGTACAGCTCGTACTGACCCGAAGAACACTGGATCTGAACCTTGCCCTGTCCTCATCCCTCCATTCCGTGCCACCCTCACCATCTCTGACATACTTGAGCCCACTGCGGCAGTCTCTGTGTGTTAATTCATCTCACTGCACAGCTTTCTCTATTTTACTGACCCTTCACCTCTGCAAACATGATATCCCTTTCTAAGAAACGGTCCTTCCTCAAGAACATGCCCAAAGGGTGAGAGATGAAGTTATAATGTAATCGAACTACAGAATTATATCTTGAAATTACCAGTGAAAGAAAAAACAAAAACAACCCACCAACAAATCATTAATCCTCAACGGTCTCAAGAAAAGTATCTGGTATACGAGCTCGAAGCTGATGCACCTGCACACACAAACTTTGGATCTGTACAAATCACAGAGCGTGCCATTATACCATCTACGTCAGTCAAGATAGGGCACTGAAATATGTGTTTCTCTCATGACAATATATAAGATAAAACCACTTACTTTTGAAATGTATGTGACGTGAACATTTATGCACTAAACTATATGCAGGAGATAATGTTCTTCATGTATGAAATACATCTGAGGAATGAGCTAGTCAGAGGGGTTATTTAATTCAATTCAAATTGAGATTAACACTGAAGGTCATTTTCAACAAAGTAAAAACCACAATGGTCAAGTTTTTAAAAGTCTCTTGTCAAAGGCAATATAATATAATCTGTACTTAGGATACAAGTACAATACATAAAATACATATTAAGAAGTACTGACAAATCATTTGGGCTTTGGGGACAGAGAAAAACAAAATAAAGACAAGAGAGCCAATTTGTTCTTGAGGGTGTTTTTTCATCCTAATTATCAGGAGGCTAAAGGAAGAATCCTAAAATCTTTCTTAAAATTCTGTCCTAAATCCCTGTCTCTTCTCATCCACCGGCAGAAAACTCAAACAGGAGCCACTGCCACACCATACACAAAATTCAAAGTAGATTAGACACTTAGGGATGGCACTCCAAACCACAAGGATCATAAGAACAATATGGCCCCAAAGGTAGAAGCCTTAGCCTATGGCATAAGTAGGCTTGCAAATACAGCCAGAAATGTACAACTCAAGGAGGATAAAACTGATAAATGGGATCATTGAAAAATCAAGGCCCTGTGTGCATCACTTTGCCCAACAGGGTAAAAAGCCTACAGTCCAGGAAAAAACATTTGGCAATCACATTTCAGACAAGGGTTTCATAACTGAAGTTTACAGAATAGTAGTGCATCTACAAGAAAAAAGACTGATAATTGAACAACAAATTGGGCAAAAGACAGGAAAAGACTCTTTCACAAAGGAAGACATCTGGATGACCTTAGACATAGGAAGAGATGCTCAAAATCACTAGCAATTTAAGAGAATAAAATAGATGAATGGGAACTTCTAAGAATAAAATCCCTATGCACATCAAAAAACTTCAACAGGGGGGAAAAAGGAAACCCACAGACTAGGAAAAAATATTTAGCAATTACAGTAAGGGACTTATATCTAAAATGTATCGAATACTACAGCACCTCAACAAGAAAAAGGTAAACAGGTCAATCATAAAATGGGCAAAGGGTATGAATAGACATGAACAGACACTTCACCAAAGAGGACATTCAGATCAGAAACAAACACACATTCAAAATCACCACCTATCAGAGAGACACAATCAAAACAGCCATGAGATATTACCCCAGCAACAATAGCAAAGTTCAACAGGGTAGAAAACAACAAATGCTGGCGAGGTTATGGTGAGATTGGAACTCTTACTCACTGCTGGTAGGAATGTAAAATGGTACAGCTACTATGGAAAGTGGTGTGGTACTTTCTCAAAAAGTTGGGAAACAAAATTATGCTTTCACCCTGCAACTCCACGATTGGGAATATAACCTAAAGAAACCAGAGAGACAATTCAAACAGATGTATACATATCCATGTTTATTGCTGTGTTATTCATAGTAGCAGAGAGAGGGAAGCAACCCAAGTGCCCATCAATAAGCGAACAGACAGAAAAACTGTGGTACATTCGTACAGTGATTACACAGCACTGAAAAACAATGAACTCATAAAATATTACATAACATGGGGGAGCCTGGAGGACTTTGTGCTGAGTGAAATATCTCAGAAGGACAAACACTGCATAACATTGCAGTGGTAAAATAGGAGAGACATGGGGGTGTTGGGGCAAGAACAGGAAAAAGAGTGGCTAGATAATGAACACTGCATTAGAACATAGGAGGGGATGAACTATGCGAAGTGAATATATGATTGTATGTATGACAACAATCTGGAACAAGGGGTGCTGCGAGGTGGGTTGGGGAAGAAAATGTTCAACAAGGACCAAAATATTATTTTTTAAAAATCCCCAAACAATGAGATACCACCTGACCCCAGTAGCAGTAGCAAAGTTTAATAGGACAACAAGCAATAAATGTTGGAGGGTATAAAGAGAGACTGGAACTCTCATGCACTGCTGGTGGAATTGTAAAATGATTCAACTGCTCTGAAATACAGTTTGGTGTGTCCTTAAAAAGCTGAACACGGAAATCTCTTATGACCCAGTTACTCCACAGCTAGTGCTATATTCCAAGGAAAAGAGGACAGAGACACAAACAGAAACATGCACATCTGTTCATTAGCACCATTACACACAACAGTCCAAAGACCCATCAACAAATGACTGGACTGAGACACTGTGATACACTCACATGATGGAATACTATGCAGCACTAAGGAATGATTTCATTAAATAATATCTAACATGGGAGAGCCTAGAGAGCATTATGCTGGGTGAACTCAGTCTCATAAGGACAGACACTACATAAAACCATTATTGTGGAAACAGAAGGACGACTAAGCAAGTTGTGTATAAATGTTCAAAAGGGAAGGGGACAAGGAGATGGGCATACGAAAAGGGTAAGGCGGCAAGGCACTAGGATGGCTAAGGTTAGTAGGTGGATGGTGGGAGGGTGGTGAAGGAATAGGAAAGGTTAAATGAAAATAAAGTGGTTAGAGGCAGAGAGCAACAGTACCTACATATAAAATACAATGTACATGAAGGAAATACAATGTAAATGAAAAGTTGTATAAGTCACAATGTCTGCATGATGAATGACTGTATGTAAGCCAATTAAAATATGTTATAAAAGACCTTCTCACAGGTTAGTCTGTATATACAAAATCTTTGGTGAGTTTTAACAAAGAAAAAAAATTCATTAAAAGAAACAATCATCTGAAAGAGTATTTATTGATATTTAATGAGACTATACTTATCCATTTAAGACTCAGAAATCTTACTTAAAAACTTACTTTTAAGAATCTTCCCTGAAGAGATACCTAAATGCTCTATGGGACCTCAGATTACATCTTAAATCAAAAGAAAGACATTTGGGGGAGGGGAGGTTATGCTTAAATAAAGTCTACAAAGTAGCTGTCTTATTTAAATGAAATTGGTATATGGAAATGCTACTATTTCTGTAAATTTCTGTATAACTCAAGTTATTTCAAAATACATTTGAGAAAAGACTAGAGCAGGACACAGCCGGCTAGCTACAATCAATTTTTGCTCATCATCATTTAGTGCTGTTCGCTACTGAACTGAAATGCACTCAGAGCTGACCCTCAAGGGGGGTTTCAGAGGCAGTAAGTCACACAGGAGACTGTTAATCCTCCTCCTGCAGAGCAGAATTATCACTTAGTGAATGAATAATAATGCCTGAAGCTGAGCTCCTTTTAATTTAGAAAATCTCAAGGGAAAATATTTTTATGCATTTATAATAGGTTAGTGCTGAAATTTATATGTTAACATGCTTCGCCACCCTCCTCCACCCTATGACAATCAATCCCTTGGGAATAAAAACCAAATCTTTGTTATTTTTTTATCCCAATGACCAGACCAAACTCCTACCACCACCAAACGTCCCCAAACCCATCAGCGTCAACTGCATTCTGATTAACAGCAATCTTGTCTGACTGCACAGAACAGCCTCAAAGAATTTCTAAAGCTGCACATCTTTACGGAAACAGACGCTTGCATCTTCTTCCCACATACAGTGGCTTTACAGGTTTGAACTGTTCACGTTTTGATTAGCAGCCAGACATTTAACCAATGCACCACTACGTCTCCTTGTTATGACCACCCTAGCTTTGCCAAAAGCTCAGTAAACATATTCTGCATGAATGGACATTATGAAAAGTATCGTCGTGCTATGGGAGTGATTTACTTACGTTCCACAAAGGACGTAAAGAGCATTCTAAACCTGCTAAGCCGACTACCTTCGTCTGCCCACATCCTTATAACTCCAACGCCTGTTTTGAGCATTACATCGTTGGCCACAGTGCTGCAAAACTTGGCTTTCAGATTTTCAATCGAACTGCTTCCATCATAGACTGCAACGAAGTTTCTTTTGCATTCATTTGAGTGCTCCATTTGGTAATCTAGGAACCTCAAATAAATCTGCAATATTAAAACAAAAAGGTTTTCACAATTAACATTTATTGGAATTTTTTCTTTTATCCAGTCATTATGGCAGACCGAGTAGGACACTAAATACCTAATAATGCCTGAGACTAACAGTCTCTTTGGATGTCTTAACAGAGGAATCAAAACCTATGCAGCATGAAGTTTGTATATAAAGAGGAGAAAATTTTTGTTTAATATGGGATCTGTCTTTTCTTTTCTCATCAGAAAAGAAAGTTATGGGACTACAAAGAATCACAATTCTATCATTTTAACAATGATTTAAGATTAAGTTCAGATTTCCCTCCCCCTTAAAAACCCAAGGGTTTTTTTCTATGTACAAAACATACACACAACCTGCTTTTTTTTTTTTACCACAGGAGAAATATATTCCATCTTACCCGTATTCTTCATAATCATTCCCTTGAAGTCCTGTCACTTATTCACCCCTGATCCTCCTGTTGTAATTTTTTTTAATTACTTCTCTTAAGAATTTAGTATTTCACACAGAAGGACTGGAACTGCAGTATCAAGCTAAACATTCTTTAGTATTCTATTTGTGTCCTGCATCTTTTTCAAACATTATAGACAACCTGCTATTTGGAACACAGTTTTTTCTTAAAATACATTTGGCTCCTTTTTGTTTGAAAATTTCCTCTTGCTTGTTTTCTTTAGATTGTGGACTTGGAAAAGACTGTCAGCATGAATCTTGAGAAGATCCAATGAAACGGGCATTGTTACTCTTTCTAGTTGGAGAGGCCTGGTAACCTAAAAGTTAGGGGCTTGACTGCTAACTGAAGGGTCAGCAGTTCAAACTCACCCCCAAAGTGCCACAGCTGTCAAACTGCTCCAGTAACAAGATTACAGTAGAGAAAAGCCTCAGGGGCAGTTCTAGCCTATTATAAGGATCAAAATAAGTACAAGATCTACTTAATAACACCTAACAACACGTAAGGATACTTTGAAGTTACTGCAGGTTTGATTCGAGACTACAGCTATGAAGCAAGTATTTACAGCAGATCAAGTCACATGACTCTCAGTTTCCTGGTGCATATAAGTGTCAGGTTTATTCTATAGTCTTCTTTTTTTCTTTCCAAGCAAGCAACACCTTATTTTTTTAAATATGTTATATAATATTTATAAATGAAAAGCCTCGCAATGACATCAGCAGACAGAATGGCGTTCTCCGCCAATCCCCACTCCCTGGCCATTTCCAATCCTAAATCAAGATACAAGGAGGATGGGAAGGGACACAAGAGCTGCTGCAGGTGAAGAGAAGCCAGAGGTTGAGTGCCGTGTAGTAGGCTTCTCACTGCGACCCCATCAGTCGGAGTAGCATCCACCCCATGGTTCTCTAGATGGTGGTTTGAGTGGGAGGCGACCGCGAGGTCTTTCTCCCGAAGAGCCGCTCGTGGGTTCTAATCTTGCCTCCCCAGGGCCCTCTGAAGACCTGTGCAGGCAGTAACCTGCCACTTCTGCAGAAGCTGCTGCTGTTCGGTGCCGCAGAGAAACCCATGGGTCACAGCATCGCTATGAACAGATGAAGACCTTGACCTTGTCCCGCGCATCCTCACCATCTCCGCCATGCTGGAGTCACTGAGTCTCAGTCACCGACCCTCCAGCTTTCCCATCGTGTCTCTTCTGCAAGGACAGGTCCCTCCACGGCCCGGAGAACTACCGCCCCCCCCCCAACCCCGGGCTCCCCACCCCTCCAGCCCCAGCGTTTGGACAGGCAGCTCAGGGCTGAAGGTTTCACAGGAGAGCTACTTTAGGGTTAATTCCTGAAAATTTCCATTTCTGAGTTGGTTCTCTGGAGATTCTGCTATGGTGACTTGGAGCTCAAGCCTATACTGTAGTCTTTTAAGTGTCCATTATGGAAAAAGTTTTAAATACTGCAAGAATTATCAAATTGGGGACAATAATAAAGTGACCACATACTATTGCCAAAAACATAATAGTGTCAACAGATTTGCTTGATACAGGGTGCTACAAAACGCTAACTTTTTTTTTTTGAGGGGGGAAGCAGCATCTGCAAAGTACAATAAAATGACGTATACTTGTATATGCATGCAATGGCATTTTAACCTTTTTAAAGGTAAACTAAGTCCCTTGAACATTACACTGAAAAAAAAAATCACATACAAAAAGAATACTTGTATGGTCTTTCTAACCTGAAACTTAGAAATGGCAACTGCATACAAACAAAAAAATAGTGATTACAAGGAGCTGGAAGCAAGGGGAAGTGGAGAGTTACTGTTTAAGATGTACTGAGTTTCCGTTTATTGTCATGAAAAAGATTTGGAAATGGATACTGCTGATGGCTGTGTAACAATTGACATGACTGAACCGTAAGCGTGTAAAATAGATAAGAGGGGTAAATGTTCTGTTATGTGTACTCAAAACACATTATAAAATGGAGCTCGTGTGGCCTAGTGGCTAGGGAGGTGCACTGCCAACCTAAAAGTTAGTGGCTCAAATCTATCACCCACAGGGAGAGAGCTGGGCAATTTTCCCTCACATTGCTATTTACGGTTATACTAAAACTCCAGACGAGGGTCAGCTAGAAGTCAGTTCTGACTCAACAGCAGGGCAAGTTCATGGGGTATTATTTCTAGAAATACCTTTTCTGGGTTGCAGAACATGGGCATTTTCAACTTTACCAGAGAATATTAAATAGCTCTTTCAAGTGGTTATTTACAGGAATGCTTGGAAGACTCCATGAGAAATTAAATTCCTGAGAAAACCATTATCATTAAGGAAAGACTGTAATAAGAATGGACCAAAACATTATTTGTATTTTACTTATAAACACCCTCAAACTTCTAGGTGTATTTATTAATGTGTATTCAGATGGAACATCGTCCATTAACTAGCAATTCATACTTCTAAAGTGAAATGTTTCTTAACATGGTTTAGAAGGCTAAATTGCTAACCAATGGATGATGTTTAAGATAAATACTCATTTCTGCAGGTGTGGTAGTATCATCTGATTGGCAACATATTAAAGACTGGATAGACTGCGTGTTCACCAAAAATGTAGAGGAACCGCAATGCTCTAATAGCTGTAGTAGAAGAATGTGTTGCTAAACCATTTTGAAGATAATCTGTTAGCAATCACCAACATCTGAGATGTATAAACCTTTGAGCTGGCACTCCTCTTACAAGTAACCTTTCTTACTATTCTTCCAACTTGGAAGTGAAGGCCTACAGAGGACAAGGGAGCTCTGGGGACTCAGCGGCAGAGTTGTGTGCTGCCAACCCAAAGGCACCTGGTTAGCGAGAAGGACGGGCAATCTCCTGAAACCCACTGGAGGCTCAGCTATGGGTGGGTTCCAACCTGACAGTGCATAACAACGTCAAATGGGTGAATTAGAGGGCATATGGAAACACTGACACAGAGCAGAAGTTAGCTGTCTGACTTATGTAGACCAGGAAGGTTGAGCACAACGTACTGTTTTGTTTTTCAAAAATAAAATCATCTCACTCCTGCTGCTGGCGGCCATGGAGTAGATCTCCACTCCCAGGGACTCTGTCTTCTATCGTGTAAACTGGCTCTGTAAGGTGTCCTCTGCCGTGGAGCTCACTGCCAGGCTTCAGAGCCCTGACTTTCTCCTGCATGGTTATGAATGGGTTCCAGCTGCAAGTCTTTCTAGTCATGTTTTACCACGGTGCCAGGAAGGCTCTTGGTGTCGTGCTGGTTTGGGATTTAGTGTACCTATGTCACTGCATCAACATGAGCATAGAGAACATATTGTTGTTGTTGTTATGTGCCGTCAAGTCGCTTGTGACTCACAGCGACCCTATGAACAACAGCCCTAAACTCTGCTCTGTCCTGTGCCAATTGCACTGTCTCTGACACTCCCATCCTGATTACTCCAGTCACTGAATCAATCCACCTCATAGAGGGTCTTCCCCCTCCTGTGCTCTCCCTCCACCGTCCCAAGCATGATGTTCTTCTCCAAGGACCGGTCTCTCCTTACAACATGTCCAAAGTATGTTAGACGAAGCCTCAGAATCCTTGCCTCCAAGGAGCCGCCCGGTTTAACCCTCTCTAGGATGAATCTGTTTGTTTTCCTAGCAATCCATGGCACCCTCAATACTCTTCTCCAGCACCACAGCTCAAAGGCATCAATTCTCCTTCTATCCTCCCTGGTCATTGTCCAACTCTCTGATGCATAACAAGTGATTGCAGAGACCATGGCCTGTATCAGGTGCACCTTAGTCTCCAGAGAGACACCACTGCTCTTTAGTACTTTGGAGAAGTCCCTAACAGCAGACTTTCTCATGGCAATGCGCCTTTTAATTTCCTGGCTACTGGTGCCAAGAGCCAAGCAAACTAAAGCTGTGTACAATCTCAATCTCTTCACCATCCATCCTGATGCTGCCAATTGGTCCAGTGGTGAGAATCTTTGTCTTCTTAGAAAACATACATATACTTAAATATAGTCACTGCTCCTCCTCAGATTTGACTCAGATTTGCAGTTCATGAAAGATTTTCCAATGAAACAAGCAATTGTTATGTGCCGTCCAATCGCCTGAGTCTCATAGCGATCCTATGTAACACAGCCCTAAACCCTGCTCTCCCCAGTGCCAATTTTGTCTCTGACTCACCCACCTCCAATACCCCAGTGACTGAATCAATCCATCTCATCAAGGATCTTCCTCTCTTACACCGTCCCTCCACTCTCCCATGAATGACGAAGGTGTGCCTAATTCAGCCCACAGTCTTTGCCATTACTTGCTATACATAAGAAAGGTGGACAGTGACTAGGGGAGATAGAAGGAGAATTGATGCCTTTGAGCTGTGGTGCTGGAGAAGTACTGAATATACCATGGACTGCTAGGAGAACTAACAAGTTTGTCCTAGAGAGGGTGAGCCTAGGCTGACCTTTGAGGCAAGGATTCTGAAGCTCTGTCTGACATACTTTGGACATGTTCCAAGGCGGGATCAGTCCTTGGAGAGGGATGTCATGCAACAACTACAGAACATTAATATG